TGCTTATTTGCTAATTCTAATTTAGGCAAGTAACCATCTTTATCAAAATTGTTCTGTATGGATCAGGAAACTTTTCTAATGCTTTTGTGTTTTGTTTTTGTTGCTACTGTTGTTGAGACAAGCCCTGACTGGCCTGCAACTGATTGTGTAGACCAGGATGGCCTCAAGCTTGCCGTGATTCTCCTGCTTCCACCTCCCAAGCACTGGGCTTACAGATGTGCAGCAACATGCTTGGCTGATACACCTTTTTAAAAAACTGGTTGAGATTGTAGTGACCTTTTCTGACACAGGTGATGGTGTTTGGAGTAATAATAGCTCATTATTTCTCTTTAATTAGTGCCACAATGACAACAGTTCAGTTCCCTTCAGTTCTAGACATGCTCTCACTATGTGGATGACACTGGCTGGCCAGCTCCTCCTGGGCCCAAGTGATCTCCCACACCAGACTCCAAAGTAGCAAGGACTGTAAGCATGTGCCACCAAGCCTGCCAACAGTAATTCTTTTAATTTATCTGTATTACTTTTAGTTATATGTATTTGGGGGGGTGCATTTTGCCTTCAGAGGCCAAGAGGTATGGAATCTGCTGGGGCTGGAGCTGGGGGTGACCCTGAGCACTGATGTGGGTGCTGGGAGTTAAACTTGGTTCTCAGGAAGAGCAGTTTGTGTTCTTCCCTGCTGAGCTGTAGCTCCAGCCTAATGAGAATGAGTTTTGAAAGAAAACAGAAGTGGGGACATTGAAATGTGGAACACACACGAAAGTTAGAAAATGAATCATGTTAAAAAGAGCAAACAGGCTGTAGGGAAACTACACTTTTAAGCTTATGCAATGGTGAGAGTAAACAAGATGGTTAAAATTTCTATTCTTAGTCAGAAATACACCTGTAATCTTAGCAAAGCTGAGATGGGATGAGTGCAGTGAGTTCCAGGCCAAAAAAACAAAAACAAAAAGCCATAAATTTCTGATCTCAAAATAGAGCAATGACTCAGAGTGAAGAGAATGGTCATGTGTCACATAGCCACAGTGGTCCTGTAATATTTTGTCACCCAGTGACATCATACCCATATTATTTTGCATAAGAACATACTGTGTTTGCACAATGATAGAGCATTTCTCAGAACACATCTCTGTTGCTAAGCAACGCCTCCCATGTTGCTCTGGAAGCCCATGTTCTCTTCACTCTGAGACCTTGGGTGATGGACATAAACTAGAGTCACCTAGGAAGAGGAAACCTCAACTGATGAATTTCCTTCTTTGCATTGGCCTTGGAACATCTATGTGGGGTAATTTCTTGATTGATGTGGGAGGGCCCAGCTCACTGCATACAATGCCACCACTAGGCAGGTGACCCTGGGTTGTATAAAGAAATAAGCCAGTGAACATCGTCCCACAGTGTCTCTGCTTCAGTTCCTGCCCTGACTTCCCTTCATGGTAGACTGAGCAGGGCATGTCTGCCCAATAAACCCTCACCCTCCCAACCTGTGTTTTTGTCAGGGTTTCATCACAGCATAGAAAATAAACAATCACACAGTTTTTTTTAAATATATGTTAAGTCAATAAATGGTTGAATCAGTTGGTAGTGAAATGGTATTTTTCTGTAATGTAAATTGCCAGCTGAAGTGATTTTGTCATTGATAGTTTAATATTAAGATACTTTTCACATACACGAAATAAAAAATGACAGATCTCCCAAGCTTCTGGTTTTTTTTTTTTTTTTTTTTTTTTTTTTTTTTTTTTTTTTGTGTGTGTGTGTGTGTGTGTGTGTGTGTGTGTGTGTGTGACAGCTCCCAAGTCCTTACCACATATTCCCTTTAACTTGATCATAATTGTGATTACCTTTAAACTGTTCTATTAAGTAGAGTTAGTCAATGTTCAATGCTTAGTTGTAGCTGTGTTTTGTTTTTATTTTAATGATCACTTGGGGACATTTTATGTATGCCCATCTTGAAGAATGGCCCTCAGAGTGTAATTCATACTGAGTCTCATATGTCCTGACAATCTATTTCCTTTGTTTATTAGGAGGAGGAGAAGTGTCTTAATCCAGAAGGGATGGGAAACAGCATATTAGGTTTAGAAGCTGTGCACCCAACACCCTCCACCCGTAATCATCTGCAAACATAACTAGAGTAACTACCAAGTTTGCCTAACATGTTGCCTGTGCTTCCATTGTTGAGAATATACTCACTCTGTTCCAGAAAGGGTAATATTTCAGAATGCTGAGTAACAAATACAAAGGGGGTGGGGCTTGGACCAGCTGAAAGAAAACCTGTGGTCTTTCACCTTCTTGGTTCCTTCTTCACCATGCTGCTCATGCAGTGAACTTTGTTTAAAGGGAAGAAAATGCTTTGCACAAAAGACGGAGAAAGTAGGAGCCTCGTGACATGGCACAAAACTAACACTCCCGACTGTCTAAAGACTGCACTGAGCTTTGTCATAGATGTGGTCGGATATGCCATAGAGATCTTAATGCACACACATACACATGTACACATTTCTCCAAGAAACCAGGTGACTCAGCAGGTAGAGGTACTTGCCCTCAACCCTGATGACCTGAGTTTGACTCCACATAGTAGAAAGAAAGAACCAACTCCCCAAAGTTTGGTTCATCAGAACTGCACAAAGTGACACACATGTATGCATACCCACAGAAATGAATGCATATAATTAAGAAAAAGAAACCAATAAACAGCAATAAAGAAATGGCACTAGAATGGGCAGTGGTGGTGGCACATGCCTTTAGTCCCAGCATTCAGGAGGCAGAGGTGGGTGGATCTCTGAGTTCTAGGCTTCCAGGTCTACAGAGTGAGTTCCAGAACAGCCAGGGCTACACAGAGAAACCCTGTCTTGGGAGGAAAAAGATGGAAAGAAATGGCACTAAGTGCCATCCCCAAGTTAAGTGAGCCCTAGTTTGCAGACATTTTCTTCAATGCTGACACTGAGACACCTTACTCAATCCTGGCACAGCTCTGCTCCATCGGGTGTGGCTGGTATTTGATGACTTCCTCATCACCTGAACCCTCTTCCTCACCCTCTGCCTTCCACCTCGACTTCCACTGCTGGGAAAGTCTCCATGGTTGCTTTCACTATTTTCCTGATTTGAAAGAAAAACAAGTTGTTGCATAGTAGTTTAGCTATAAGCTGAGGGTGAAACAGTAACAGAAAAGCCTGCTCTTGATGGACCTGAGGACTCTCTTGGGGCCTCCCAGTCACCATCCTTCCCGGTGTGTCTGTCTGTTCACTGCCAACTAAGCGCTTCACTATTTCGGGCACTTGCTTTTTGTTTTTGTTTGTGTGTGTGTGTGTGTGTGTGTGTGTGTGTGTGTGTTTCTTATTTTTTCCTTCTGCTACTGCGTTATGGAGTGAAGAGAATTCTATGATCTGACTACCGATCATTTGAACAATAAACTTGGAACAGCTGTGAAGGCTGAGGTGGCGTGAGGATTGCCAGGAGACAATGGAGCGACTGCCAGATAGCACCTGTGTCACAGGGTAAAAGGGATGAGGTGATCAGTGACAGGAGGTCTCAGCTGAGGTACTGATCTAGGTCCTCAAAATGGTATGGGGTTTAGGGGAGAAGATAGTTTTGGGTGTGGAATAAGAATACAATGTTCTCCATTGAGACTGTCTTAGAAGATGTTAAAAGCCTTTGTACAGAAAACATTGTTAACGTTCCTTTCTGTCTTTCCTACCCCCCCACACACATACACACACCTCATCCCCAGTGGCAGTTTAGAGGAGGTATCGGTGGCTATAATCCACTCTGCTCATAGTGGAAGCTAAATTCCTAACCCACTGAGCTGGAGGTGGAAGAACCAGGCCATCAGGGTTTGACTTTGCGCTGTAGACTGATTGTACATTCTTCTGTGGGCATGCTGTTTTCTGAGTCATTTTGTCTTTCTTTGTGGCACCGATTTTACATGGGTAGTCCCTTGAACATCTAATCACTAGCTGTGTGTGTGTGTGTATGTGTGTGCACGCGCACGCGCGCGCGTGCTAAAGAACCTAGACCCTTACCTGAGAGCATAGCTCAGTGGTAGAGCACCTGCTTAGCATGGGCAAAGCCACAAGTCAGTCCCCAGCATTACAAAAAACAAAACAAAACAAAAACAAACAAAAAAACTTGTCTCTAACCATAAGCTAAGACACTGTTTACAGCTTCGAGGAATAGACACATCAAAGGTCTAGATTTAAATACAAAGAAACCTTTCTGCTGGCTGTGCATAAAGCTCTGGATAGGCTCATTTATGTCAGACCTGAGACTGCATATGCCACACGGGTGATTGGAAGAACCTGCCAACGTCTTCACTGTTCACCAGCAGTGTGAGGTGGGATGGGATGGAGACTTTGCTACGGAGAAAGCACAGTGGTAAGAGGTGAGCTTCCTCAGATTGTATCTAGTGGGGCTCTGATTTTGCCCACTAGAACTGCAGCTTCTTGCCCTACTCTTTCAGAGCAGTGTGATGAGTGAGGACTCTGTTTCGTGTACGGCCCATCATCTCCATACACAACAGGAGAGAAT